CATATATAGGCTCCCAGTCTCCCTATCTCTGCACTTCCCCTTTCAGCCACTTTGTTGGTGTATAATAAGGGGACTTGGGGAACTGGGACAGAAGTTCAATAAAGCGATGTAATGAAATCAGTTAAGGCTGATACTCTATCAGCAGTTCCCCCTCTGTGGTATGGGTACCACCAGTGGTATGCAGACAACCTGTCAGCGTGAACAGATTTATTATAATGACTTGATATGACAAAAATGTGCTGGTGGTACTTAAGATTGTGTCATTTCAAATTGGTGGTGCGCAAGCTGTCTGAGTTTGGGAACCTGCGGTACTACATCCATCCATCCATCCAGGTTTACTTTAAACTCGTTTCAGTCATTTTGAAAGCAGGTTGCATGCACTGAACTTATAGTTTCTAGGATCAGAAGGGACCTGTGTAGATCATCTAGTCTGACCCCCTGCCGTGGCAGGAAATAGTACTGGGGTCAAATGACCCCAGCAAGGTGTTCATCTAACCTCCTCTTAAAAACTCCCAGGGTAGGAGCCTGCACCCCTTCTCTTGGAAGTTGGTTCCAGATCCTAGCTGCCCTGACCGTGAAGTAGCGCCTCCTGATATCTAGCCTAAATCTACCCTCTGCCAGCTTGTGACCGTTATTCCTGGTCACTCCTGGCAGTGCTCGGGGGAACAGGGACTCCCCCAATGCCTGCTGATCCCCCCTGACTAGTTTGTAACAGAGCACTAGATCCCCCCTCAGCCTTCTCTTGTGGAGGCTGAACAGGTTCAGGTCCCGTAGCCTCTCCTCATAGGGCCTGCCCTGCTGTCCCCAGATCATGCGAGTGGCCCTCCTCTGGACCCTCTCCATGCTGTCCGCATCCCTCTTGAAGTGCAGCGCCCAGAACTGGATGCAGTACTCCAGGTGTGGCCTGACCAGTGCTGCATAGAGGGGGAGGATCACCTCTTTGGATCTGCTCGTGATGCATCTGTGGATACCTGACAAGGTGCGGTTGGCCTTCCTGACTGCATCCCCACACTGCCGACCCATGTTCATCTTGAAGTCAATGATGACTCCAAGATCCTTTTCCGCCTCCCTGCTGACAAGAGGGGAGTTCCCCAACCTGTCGGTATGGTGCCGGTTGTTTCTCCCCAGGTGCATCACTTTGCACTTGTCCGTGTTGAATCCCACTGTGTTGAACTTGTGCAGCGTTACAGATTTGGACCAGCTTCCTATCACTTACGGCAACCAGTTTGTGTGTAATTTCTGGCCCTAGCCAGGGGGTGACCTTAGTCCTAGCAGCAGTACAGGGAAGCCTGGAGGAGGGGGTAGCTTAAGGTTGTAGCTGTGACCATGGAGAAATTATGCCAGAGGCAAGGACTCCGGGGCAGGGGTGTGTCTCTTTTATTGGACCAACTATGTACTTGAGACAAGCTTTCCAATGCAATACAGTTTCCAGCTCTGGATGCAGGGAAAGGATTCCCCTCTCCCCCTTGCTGGTGGCATAAGGGGGACACGAGTGCGGGCCAGACCGTGTGCAGGGTGCGAGGCGCCAGACCCGTGGGCAGTGGGGGCGGCGCTGAAGCGCCCCTCGGACGCGGCTGGGGCTTGACGCCCTGGCTTGAGGCAGGGCGACGTCACGTGCTCACAGAGGAACCCCTGACGGAGCCCGGGCGCCAGAGCGCTGGCCGCGCCCCTGCGTAACCGTTGGGGGCGGTGCCTCGCTCGCGCCGCCGCTGATTGGGTGCGGGGGAGGGGCGGGGTAGGAGGGTGCGGGACCGGCTAGCTGCAGGCTCAGAGTCGCGCGGGGAAGCGCTGGCGGGACGTGAGGGTCCGGGTGCTGCGCGGGGTGGCCTGGGACGCAGCGGGGAGCTCTGGTATGTGGCGGGCGAGGCACACACATGACCTGATCTGCTGTCCCCCCTCCCCCTTGGTTCGCAAGCGGGCGTGGGCGGGGTTGGAAATAGCGCGCGCGGCCGCTGCAGGAAAGGCCCGCCTGGGCCTGTGTTGCAGCCGCAGCCTGGCGGCAGGGCCTGGTAGCGGGCCCCGGGCAGGAGCGGGGCCGGGGGGACGCGCGCCGCGTTGGGATGCGGCCTCACGTCACGCTTGTGACGCGCGTTGCTGGGCAGTGGCACAGCACGTGCAGGAAGGCCGCGCCGCCGGACTGGGCCGCCCCATTGAGAGCGACTCTCCAGACATCGTAAGAGCCAGACAGTTGCAGCGCTCGTGCTTGAAGCTGAGGGCAGCCGGTTTCTATTCAGCTTTCGTTACAGAGCCCTGAAAGGGAGAGCGAACGGGGTTTCCCCCTATTGCTGTCCCATTCGCAGCCTCCAGTATTTAATAAACCCCAATGCTGGCGTTTTCTTCTTCTTTTCCTCATTTAAAAGCCACACTTGTCCCCTGGGTTAGGGCTAGGGTGATCTTCCAGAAAGAAGTGACTTTATTCTCCTTCCCATCTCCCGGGTTTAAAATCTTCCTGCTGTCGGACCGAATCTGCCTTACTTTGGTGTCTGTCTGCAGGTGAACTTTTTTAAGAAGCCTGAAAATAGCAAACTTTGATAGCTATGAGTTAGCATTAAAAAAACCCAAACACAGCTCCTCCCCCTCCAACAAACCCAAGCAGAACAAAAGAGAATGAAATCAGAAACTGTAGAAAAAGCCTAGTTTTCTGGGAGTTTTCTTGGTGACCTCAAAGTTTCATATTAGCTGATTTTTTTTTTTTTTAGTTGACAGTTGTCTCTTGCAAATAGTGCAGACATGAAATGTTACGCTTATCTAGTGAGTATCTTGCATTCAGACTTGGCCTGTCATCATGTGTAGTAAACCTCAGTGGCTTCTGTAAAGAAATATGTAGGAATTATTTGCCCTAATTTGTTACAGACACCAAGGACGTTCTGCGAGGAGGGGCAAATTCCATTTTTTAATTATGGTATATAGCTGGGGTCAGGCTCCCATTCACTGAAAACAGACCATCAATAAATGCATTGCACAGAAAACAGGATATGGCTTATGCGTTGACTTCATTATTTCAGGGGTGCAGTTTATAGCCATATTGGTCTATAGGCAGAAGGACTCGCAACTCGTGGCAGGGGTGATATCTTTTATTAGACCAACTAGATATTTGCAGGAAAAAAAGTCTTTATTTGTAAGCTTTTGGCCACACACATCCTTCCCCAGGCATAGAAGAATGCAAAGATTGTAAAATTGCTCCTAGGTGGGAATGAAAATTCGTATTTCACAAGACAGCTGAAAGTGGTGTAAGATCTCCTGGTTGGAATAGTTCATTTCATGGAAATTGGGCTCAGATAAAAGTTAGAGTAGTCTATTTTGACTTCATTATACACTCTCAACTTTTAATATATTATTATACAGTTAGTTCCATGTAGATTTGTGCTTGGTTTCTTAGTCTTTCCACATCCTCTTTTCCTGTTTCCATCTTTTCTGTGAGTGCTCTTGTTGGCACAAGAAAATTGTACAAGTTATTAGGATATGAATTTTAAACTGGTTCAGACTGCTGTGAAAACACTTTTAAGAGTCATATATTTCAGTTTAGTTTAGACAAATTAAGAATTGGTAGAGTAACTGAAAATGAGTGGCCACCTGTGGCTTGCACTAATTGACTGTAATCTAGTGAAACTCTCACAAGGCAAGTTCTTGTTTTTTGCATGTTCTTCTCTCATTTAGACTGGATATGCCATGATGCCGACTACAAATCATGCAGGGCACATCTGGCCCTTAGACTGAATGTTTGATACTTGTGTAACAGGTGATCAATTTGTGACCTAAATCATGAGGTTAGATAATGCTGGAGAGTTTTTCTGGCTAGTGTTAATTACATTGTTTTATCTTAATCTTGTGCCTAATCTCTCGTAAATTTTACTAAGCCCTTTGCTTAAGGGGTTCCATTACTACTAGTTACACTTGATGTACAATTATACTTTATTGTAGACTTATTCTAGAGCTGCTCACTGCAATTATGTTCTAGTAGTGCTATTATATAACCACTAAATGGGTTGACACAGCTAGCTTTCTGAATTAAAGGAAGGTGGGGGCTTTGTATGTTGTCATGGGGAGGGGGAATTCTAACAGGAAGAGGCAGGATAGAAAAAAATTGAGTGGGGGAGACTACAAAGGAATGGGGGCATAGACTTCAAGTGGGGAGCAAGACAAAGAGTAGGAAGAAATGAGAGCAGAGGTGTAGAGCTTTAAAGTGAACACAGAAAGCTTGGATTTGAGGTGGAAGATGAAGAAATAATTTGAGGGATTTGGAAAACATGAATAACTTGGTATGAGCAGCAGCCAGGGAGAACAGTATTGTAGCTTATAATTTTTGTGCATGCATATACGTTTTAGGGAAGAACTAATGTGAAAAGTATTATTTTAGTCATGTGAACTTACTGGGAAGTGTCAGAGTGCCCTTGCCCTGACAGTATAGCATGTATGTATGTCTGTATATGTGTATACATGCACTTCTTATGTCCACTAAAAGGATCTTATATAACTAATATCAACAATTTGATACAGCCAAAATTGTGTTGTTTTCCTGGAGCATTGGCAATGCATCGTTGCCATGTGCCACTGCATAACAATTGGAAAGCAAAATGGAGTTGGTTTTAATTGTTCAGGTTGAATGAACAAAATATAAGCAACCTAATTTGACTTTTAAAAAATTGCCAATGTTAAAAACGTGAGGTTACTTTTTTTATAGATGAAATGTTTCTTCAAATAATTAGAAATCTATGATTCTAGTATACAATTAAATGTCATTGGGCAGCAAGATGTGGGTGATTAGTGATTAGACCAGTGGCTATCTGCTAGGGTGCCACAACACCCTTTCTAGGGTCCCATGGCACTGGTAATGCTACTGAAGCCAGGTGAAACTGCCCCACGTGCCTTTTTTTCCTTCAGGAGGCACTTGCAGGACTGGATGGGAAACAGCTCTGACAGGAATGGTTTACATTTCTTAGGGGAGGGTTCTGCAGAACTTATAAGTCTAAAAACATTGAGAACAACTGGATTAGTCCTTTTGAAAACTAGTGTCTTGTACTGTCAGCTCAGCTTGATTTTTTTTTTTTTTTTT